TACTATTAGAATATAAGTTATTTTAGTAGTACTATTTATAGCCATTACAGGTCACAGTGGTACAATATTTGTACCACTAGAAAATAAAAAAGAAAAAAAAAATTCACCACTCTTTAGTTTTATAGCTGTTATTTACTTGCCATGTAAATAGCAGCTATTCGCCAATACTTAACCCTCACCAACACACAAATAAAATAGCATTAAAAAAAACATACAAATAAAACAATTTAATCAGAACATCAATTTGGTACCACTCCATTGAAAAAAAAAATACCTCATTGGTATCACTCCATAAAATTAAAAAAAAATAATAAAAAAAAAAAACTTCGGTTCATTCCGGTAATATTGCCCAACCATTATGATAAATGAAAATTGAAGATCTAAAAACAGATCGATATGGAAGTTTTAAAAAATAATTTGAAAAATAACATTACATTGGCCTTGTTTTACAATTAGTTTTTAGTTGTTGAAATCTTGAATTTAGCATATTTCTTTTAAGTTTTGATGAACTAATTTCTAGTTTGAGAGAGAGAAAATAGGAGAAGAGAATTTGATTATTCTAAGAGAAATTTTTTTATATTGAATGAATTAATATTACAGCACTAAACCTCTATTTATAATGTCTAACAGAATTTACAAAAGAATAAAGTTAGTTACAAAGTGTAACAGAATTATGTTATAACAAAATTCTGTTAGAGTAATGCTGAGCTAGCTATCAAACCCAGTAGGCTGAGGAGAAACTTCTATAGGTTGATCTAGAATCATCTAGCAACTTCTAGAATTGCTGTAATAAGGAGAGAAGATAGAGCTCGTGCAGTGCCATCTCACTTGTTGTTTCATGCTCGCATGTAGGATCTAGAGCAAAGACTTGGTGTGATGCTGCAACAACACAAACTTAGTATCACCAATACCCCCGCTCAAGCTTGGGGTGGCAGAATGATCAGTCAGACCAAGCTTGGACAAAAGGAGTTTGAATTGAGGTCCTGATGTAATACCGTATTTTCGAAACGTATTTTCTAATTAATTAATTAATATTTTTTTAAAAAGGGTATTTTAGTAAATTATTTTATTATTTGAAGTTTTGGAGCCAAAATGATATTTGAATTTTGGCGCCAAAAACATTTAAAAACTTAATTATTATTTTTGAATTTTGGATAAGATTTATTATCCATTTAATTTATTTAAAAACCGGATTATATATATATATATATATATATATATATATATATATATATACTTCGGATATTTTAATTAAGCAAAATTATATTTATTATTTATTAAAAAGGTTCGAAAATTCCTAATTAATAAGCTATGAATTTCGGATTTTTGCTAGTGTGGAAAATCTGATTTTCTTAGTTAATTTATTTAGTGAATAATTGGTATTTTCTAAATTAATTATTTTTACAATATATATTATTTACACAATAATTTTTAATCCTTAAAATCTAGCAAAATTATTTCCTAAAATCTAGACAAGAGGTCCGAAAATTGTGCTTAGGTAAGCTCAAAATTTTCGGCCACCTTGGATTGATTTGGAGTAATTTATTTTGGTAGTTTGTATTTTTAATTATCTTCCTTAATTCTATCATTTTTCCTTAATTCTTATTTTCCATCTCCTAAATATTTGATCATCTTATTTTCCTACCTTAAATCATTCTTGATTATTCCCCAAGCAAAGCCATTTACCATATTATTTTTCATGATAACATACTTTCCATAATTAATTATTCCTTGATCAGCATAAAACTAAACTTTCCTTAATTCTTTAGCTCACCTTTCCAAGTAATTCCTTAAACTAAAATTACCATAATTCTTCCTACCATAATTCATGCATGAGCTAGCCTATAAATACCCCTTGAATCATAGCTTAACATTCACACCAAAATTCTCTAATTTCTCTCTTAATCTCTCTCTAATTTTCTCCTCTCTTTCTCTTGTTTTGCACGGCCACCACCACTTAACACCACCTCCACCGACGGCTGCCACCTTCCTCGGCCAGCCGCCTGCCACCAGCAGCCACCTGCCGGATGGCTGCCGGCCCCTTGCCGCCACCTCTTCTTTGGTTTTCTACCTCTTCTTCTTCTCTTCGCTTAATTAATTATATTATTATGGGAGTTTTATAAAAATTATAATGAGTATTTTTAATTAAATAAAATTAGTTTATTATTCAAGTTTATGAAAAATAATTTTATAAGGTTCATGTACATATACTTGGGGGTTTTGTTTTAATTGTTGTGCTTATTTGTTAACCTTATATTGTTTAAGGTTATATTTATTTGTAGGGTGTGTTTAACAAGAGTTCTTGAAGTTCTTTTTGTGTGTTGCTAAGCAAGGATCAAGGTACATTCAGGTGGCTAGATACCTTCGAAATTGATCGGATTGAATAAGCATGTTTTATATGATTTTTATGATGATTGAATTAAATTGAATTGATTTATGATTTATGAAATAAAGTATGTTTAAATAATTGGTTTTAATAAATAAATTTGAAGGAATGATTTTTAAATCATGTTTTGAATGATTAAATTATTTGTCATATTTTATAAAGTTTGATTTTGAAAGCGTGTTGAATTAAATAAAAAGGAGTTTTGAATGGTTTTATTATAAAGATTGGAATTATTGATTTAAGGAGGATTTATTGAATTATTTATAAAAGCGTTACAAGCATGATTATTATATTAATCCCACTATGCAGATTCATTGAAGACTATGGACTTTGTATGACCTAGTCTTTCCTCAAGGATAGCCTTTTAATATAAAGATACTAGTTTGGGGGTTGTGCACACTTAGAGAGGAGTTGGGTTTTTAAAAAATATTGATTTTAATAATCACTATTATTGAATTATTGAGTTATTGGTATTATTTTGTGAATCTTGAGATTTGGTTTTGAATCATGAGTTTGGAATTATTGAATTAATTTATGGAATTGGTTTTAAAAGCATGTTTGCTAATAAATTGAATTTACTTATCTTGCACTTATCGTACTTAGCATATTTTGCTAATCCGTATTTCTTATTTGTTTTGGTTCACTCCGTTTACCTTAATGGTAAGCAGTGTTAACTATTTTTCAAGTGGAGTTTATAAATGAACATTTTGGGATTCTCGGGATATTCTTCACCTAGTTTAGGAATGTTGGTCCTTGTTTCTCTTTTGAGTACTCATAACATTGGTTACTATTTTTATTAAGTATTGATAAAGAAAGAGTTTGAGTTTTCGCTGCGAAGTTGTGGTTTTAATTAGTAGTTTGAGTAGCCTTGTGTAATCACGCGGCGGTAATAGGTCTAAGTCTATCCCTACTGTATATTTATACATATTATACTAGTATTTCCGTAGAGGGAGATTTGGGGGTGTTACAAAGTGGTATATGTTTTATGGTCTTAAAAAGATTAAAATGGGAATAAATAAAAATTGTGGGTAGACTTAAGAGGGAATATAGGATAGAGTTTCGCATTTGTGTGTGAAAGTTAAAAGCATTATTTTTTTAAAAAATAAAAACTATTTTCTTGTTTAGAAAGATGATTGAGAAAAGGATTCTCAAGTGCGACTCTCTGTCTAGGCAAGGCTCTCCTCGACGCTATAGGTAACTTACTTGGGAGACGCGTGCTCAACCGTCTAATATCATGATTCAAGTACATTATTATCATTTTCGAAAATAAAAAGAATTGAAACTATTTGAAAGCTTGAGTTGTGTGATTATGTGTGCATTAAAGTTGGTGTTAAAACACCTTAATCTATGGTCAAGAGGTCCGAAGTTTTGAGTCATTCCCCATGTCTTGAGCTATACTTGTTAATTGAGTTATGAATTGCTTATGCAAATGGATTTTTGAATTGAATTGCTTATGTGAATTGGCATTGAATTGATTGTTTTGCATGTGTATGTGAAACAAATGGAAAAGAATGATGAATTGAGAAAGAAATACTTTAACTTGCATTATTTGAAAGATGATGGAGTCAATGTTAGTCAGTTTGTGACTGGCATAGTTACTTTGGCCTTAACCCTCTATGAATGATATGGAATTGGAAGTGTTAACCCAATCACCTTGGATGATTTTCTTGGCCTTAGCCCATTTGCCTAGAGTTCTCAAATACAAACCTCTCTTTGACAAGTATAAGGATGAAATCAAGGATAATGGAATGTGGAACGAAGTACACCATCATGAAGGGAGATGGTTAGCAACCATGTCTAGCTTCAAAAGAGACTTGCATTATGTAGAACGTGACTATGAGCCTAAGAGGAAAGTTGTGAAATTTCCAAAACTTTCAAACAATGCTACCTTGAGAGAAGATGACAAATGTACTACTTAAATGCTCAACTACCTTTTTCATACCGAAAGCATTGTCATGAATTTGAGTCCTCTAGTGATGATATATGAGTCCATATAACCTCTTGGGAGGAGCAAGAATTACCCTTCTCCTTCACATACTCCAAACTATGAACCTCCAAGGCTTCCAAGTCCAAAAGTCCATTTTCATATTGCAAAAAGGCCCAGAACTCGTACCCAAGAAGTTAATCAAAAGCCACCAAGTCCAAAATACCATCCATCTTCACCAAAAGTTCAACAAAAGCCCAATGTTTCTTCAAAGCCAACTTGTGGTTGTGCTAGTCCACACAAAAGCCATACTCCAAATTCAAGTTCAATGGGCTAAGCACAACCACAACTTTCTGGCCAAATTCAAGTTCAGGCCATACTCCAAGTTACAGTGGATATAACCCAACTTTCACGACTGACCCAAGTGATAAGGGAAAGGCTAAGCAAGATGATCCTGACTATGATCCCAATGAGGATGACTATTCTGAGAGTGTTGCTTGAATGATTGAACTATGCTATGTTTATTGCTTTTAATAATTGCCTTAGATGGAAAAGTTGTACCTTCGATTGGATTATTAATGAAATGAAGTTATTTTTATTGCATTTTTCTTATGTTATTGAGTGAATTAAATGCCTATATGAGTAGAACTTGTTTTAATTTTCAAAGTATGGTAATTATACCTAGGAAGTATGTCTGCAAGGATGAGAAACCAAATGGGAAGTAGGCACGCTGGTTCCAAAGTAAGGAAGGTCCTTAGAAACTTAACCCATATCACTGAAAACATCATGAAAGTGGTGAACCAAGGAAACCGTAATTCTGACCTTGACTCTTATAGCGAAGTTTTTAAGAGAGTTACTACAGCCAAACCACTTGTTTACCTAGGGAAAGAGGATCCAGCCAGTCTTGAAAGCTGGATTAGGGAGTTTGACAAGTTGTTTGATGCTATTAATTACCCAAGTGAGCTGAGGGTGAATAATGGTTATTACTATCTGAGGAAGGAAGCTGACTTATGGTGGGTCCAAAGAAAGGATGAGTTGTTAAAGAAACCAAACTTTGGGTGGGATGAGTTTAAGGAAGCCTTGAGGGAGAAGTTTTACCCTTCTTACCTGAGAAAGCAGAAGTCTATGGAGTTTACTAACTTGAGAATGGGGAACATGTTTATCAATGAGTACTATAACAAGTTCATTGAGTTGATGAGGTTTGCCCCGGAAGTAGTTCCCACTGAAACCATTAAAGCTCAGAGATTTGAGCAAGGCCTAACCTTGACCCTCCAAGGGAAGCTAGGGGGAGTTACTTTTGAGACCCTAGATGAAGTCTATGGCCGAGCAGCCCACCTATAAGGGATCAAGGGGAGAGAGATGGAGCATTCTGGAGAGAAAAGAAAGAACCAGGACTCTTTTCACGAGGGTGAAAAGCGGCATAAGCCTAATGGTAACCACCAAGGGAATTCTAGAGATAGGAGGGACAACAAAGGGAACTATGGAAAAGGGAATGGAGGCCAGACGACCAATGCTAGAGAAAATGGAAACCAAAAGGGTGATAAACCCTAGGGAAAGTATTTCTGCAAGCGGTGTGAGAAAGACCGCCCAGGGAGGGACTATGAGGGCAAACCGATAACTTGTCGTTACTGTCAAAAGTTGGGACAGCGTGAGTGTGAGTGTTTCAAGAAAGAGGCTGACGTTAAGTCAGGAAAGGTGAAAGATTCTAGTACTCTTAGCAAACCATCTCAGCCTAGTGGATCTGCACCCCAAGGTTGGAACCAGTAGCGTTGCGGGAGGTGCCCTAAAGGGTCGTGTGTTCGTGATGAACAATCGTGAGGCTAAAACTTTTAATGATGTGGTAATTGGTGTTTTCCTTATAAGTTCTTTGCCTGTGAAAGTTTTGTTTGATTCGTGCATCCCATTCTTTTATTTCTAAGAGAGTGGTTGGAAGTCTTCGGTTGGGGAGTCCTGAATCAGTTTCTCTAGATGTGTCTATTCCGCCAGGGAAAGTGAGGAATTGTTCCAAGTTGTTTAGGAGTCTACCTCTCTCCATTTATGGGGTAGTGTTTCTGTCGGATTTCATCGAGTTTTATTTGAAGGATCTTGATGTGATTCTGGGTATGGATTGGTTGGGAAAGTATGAAGCCAAGATTGACTATGCAGGTGAAAAGGTTACGTTGAATAGCCCAAGTAAAACTAGAGTGACTTACAAAAAGGAAGGGAAGAACTCATGGTTAAGACTTATTTCTGCAATGCAACTACAGAAGTTTGTTAAGAAGGGTTATCCTCTTTTTATGTGCAGTGTTCAAGAAGTTGGAAGTGAGGAAGAGAAGAGTAAGGGAAGTATTCCGGTTATAGAAGAGTTTCCTGATGTATTTCCAGATGAGATTCTTGGTATGCCACCAGTGAGGGATGTTGAGTTCACTATCAACCTAGTGCCTGTTACTGGACCTATTTCTAAGGCTCCATATAGGATGTCTTCAGCTGAGATGAAAGAGTTGAAGACTCAGTTGGAGGATTTGTTGGAGAAAGGCTACATTCGACCTAGTTCCTCACCCTGGGGAGCTCCAGTGTTGTTTGTAAAGAAAAAGGATGGAAGTATGAGGTTGTGTATTGATTATCGAGAGTTGAATAAGGTTACAGTGAAGATAAGTATCCATTACCAAGGATCGATGATTTGTTTGACAACCTGAAATAGGCTGGAGTGTTTTTGAAGATAGATTTGAGGTCAGGTTATCACTAGTTGAGATTGCGGAGCAAGATATTCCAAAGAGTGTTTTCATGATCCGTTATGGTCACTATGAGTTCACAGCTATGCCGTTTGGTTTGATCAATGCACCATCAGTGTTCATGGATTTGATGCATAGGATTTTCAGGCCATATTTGGATAAGTCTGTAGTAGTGATTTGATGATATCTTGATTTATTCAAGGGATAAAGAGGAGCATGAGGAGCATTTGAGACAAGTTCTGTCATGTCTAAGAGAGCACCAGTTGTATGCTAAGTTGTCAAAGTGTGAGTTTTGGTTGGAAAAAGTGGCATTTTTTGGGCCATGTGATTTCCAAGGAAGGAGTTTCAGTTGATCCAAGCAAGATTCGAGCTGTCAGTGAACAACCCCAAAGAATGTGTCAGATGTGAGAAATTTCTTGGGTTTAGCAGGCTATTAGAGAAGGTTTGTGAAGGATTTTTCAAGGATTGCGAAGCCCATGAAAAGTTTGATGAAAAAGGAGCATAAGTTTTCATGGACTCAAGAGTGTGAACAGGCGTTTTAGACCTTGAAAGTTTTCATGAAGTATATTTTCACCTAAGGGTATTTGAATGGAAGGCAAAGGAGATGGTTGGAATTTCTCAGTGATTATGAATTGGACATTCAATATCATGAAGGAAAAGCTAATGTTGTAGCAGATGCTTTGAGTAGGAAGTCAGAACACTCGATGAATGTAATGGCAGTGTCAGATCAGTTGTGTGTGGAAATCTAGAAAATGAATTTGGAGGTCATGGAACATGGAGAAGTGACTAAGATGTTAAATGCATTGGTGATTCAACCACCCATTTATGATGAGATAAGGGAAAGCCAACTGGAAGACAAGAATTTGAAAGTAATAAAGAAAAAGATCGATGAAGGTCAGGTGTTGGGTTTCACCATTAGTGATGAAGGAAGTATTCGTTTCAAAGGAAGATGGTGTGTGCCACAAAGTCGTGGAGATTTGAAGCAAAGATTGATGGAGGAAGCCCATAATTCTCCTTATTCAATGTATCCTGGAGAGGATAAGTTGTATAAAGATATGAAGAAGACTTTTTGGTGGCCTAATATGAAGAAAGATGTAGCTGAATTTGTGGCCAAGTGTTTGACATGTTAGAAAGTAAAGATTGAGCGTCGTAGGCCTCAAGGAAAGGTCCAATCCTTGGAAGTGCCTAAATGGAAGTAGGATTCAATTTCTATGGATTTTATTGGAGCATTGCCTAAGACTAAGGCTGGAAATGACACTATTTGAGTAATAATGGACAGGTTGACGAAGTCAGCAACATTTATACCCATGAGAAGTACTTGGAATATGGATCAGTTGGGAAAATCTTATGTGAAATTTGTGGTGAAATACCATGGGGTACCCACGAATATCATTTCAAATAGGGATTCAAGATTTATGTCTAACATTTGGCAAAGTTTGCAAAAGGCGATGGGAACAAAGTTGTTAATGAGCACATCATTTCATCCTGCGACAGATGGTCAGACTGAGAGAACAATTCAGACATTGGAAGATATGTTGAGAGCATGCGTGATGGAATATCAAGGGTCTTGGGAAGATCACTTGGATCTGATCGAGTTTTCCTACAACAACAGTTATCATACAAGCATTGGAACGACACCGTTTGAATCTCTGTATGGTCGGAAGTGTAGAAGCCCAATTTGTTGGAACGATATAAGTGAGACAATGGTACTTGGGCCAGAGATGATTGAGATATGGTGAAACAAGTGAAGTTGATCCAAGAGAAGATAAAGGCAGCCCAAGATCGACAGAAAAGTTATGCTGATTTGAAAAGAAGAGATGAGGAATATGAAGTGGGAGAGAAAGTTTTGTTGAAGATTTTACCCATGAAAGGAGTAATGAGGTACGGGAAGAAGGGAAAGCTAAGCCCAACGTACATAAGGCCATATGAGATCATTCAGATAGTGGGAAAAGTAGCATATAACTTGGATTTTCCCAACGAGTTGGAAAAGGGTTCACAACGTGTTCCATGTGAGTCAAATACGAAAGTATGTACCTGATGTGACACATGTGCTACAACCTGAAACCATTGAGATGGATGAGAATTTGACCTATGAGGAAAAACCGATGAAGATTCTGGATACTAAAGTGAGAAGCACATGGAACAGGGATTTGAGAATTGTGAAAGTGTTATGGTCGAACCATAAAACTGAGGAGGCTACATGGGAAGCTGAGGTTGATATGAGGAAACGTCACCCAGAATTGTTTGACTAAGCATTTTAGAACTTAATTATTATTTTTGGATTTTGGATAAGATTTATTACCCATTTATTTTATTTAAAAGCCAAATTATATATATATATATATATATATATATATATATATATATATATATATATATATATATATATATATATATGTTTCGGGGTTTTTTGATGTCCTGCGGGAGAGTTACAATTCCGAGACTGGTATCCTTGCGCCTGTACCTGCAAAACAACGGAGACTCCTTGTGGTGGGAGTTCCGCCTCCGACGATCAAGTTAGAACGTGTATGAGGAGTGAATAGTGCAGAAAAGTAAAGGTTGGGAAATCTGGTTCCTCTAGGTGAGGAGTGATCTAAGTGTTTTTACTCTCTCGGTGAGTGTAATTAATTTGCTTAACTCCCCATTAATGAGAATTAATGAAGGTATTTATATGCCTTGGGATGCGTGCCAGTCCTAGGTTTAGGTCAACCTAGGGCTGATTGGGCTTTCCACAAGACTTTGGGCCTAGGTGGCCGATTTTCCCATTTGGCATGAGGGAGGCCACGTGGCGTGACACAACTGGTCCATGGTGGACGGATCAACGCCTGACACGTGGCAGGCTCCTATTGGTCCAAGTGGCGAACACTTGGTAGAACCTGAATGGTCCACTTGTCAGGTGATAATTAGTAGGGAAAAATCCCCTAATAATTTGCCCCTCACAGGTGGCACGTGACTGTTCACATGTCACCTGTGACAGGTGTCGGCCTGTAACAGGCGACGACCTGCGACAGGTGTCGCCTTATGACGGGCCGAGCATTTTTCCCGCTCGTTTTTTTGAATTTGGAGGCGACCCTTCGCATTCTCCTTTTGCCCTATATAAGGACATGTTGACCAAGTCTTTTGTTCACATTTTCGAACTTTTCAAGAGAACTCTCGGACCCCTGAACTTAAGCTCTTACACTTTGCAACTTTTGATCTGCCGATTATTTCTGACAAGCCGACTGCTTTTGTTAGGCGCCTGTTCGATCAAGCTCTTCTTCAGAACTTAAGTTTCAGGTAACCGTCTGTTCCTTTATTCTTTTTGCTTTTGCACTTTTTCTTTCTTTTTTGAAAATGAGACCTCAAAAGCATCCGGCACGACCTAGGTTAGCAATCAGCCGGCCACCGGGGACCGACGGCTGAGTCTAGGACTAGGGGTGCCGACTGCCCTGCGGTACTTCAAACTTTGCGCAAGTCCCGTAATCCAACTGTCTCTGTATCTATTCATAACAGTATGGCAAGAACAAAAAAGACCAAGAGAATTGAAAACTCTGATGGCTCCTCTTTCCGGGTTCAAATTAGCAAGCTGTCGGACCAGCCGCCTGATACCGCAGGGACCCAAGGTGGCCCTTCCGCCGAGAGCTCTGAGGAGGGAGCTAAAGTAGCCCCTTCCCACTTCACTGTTGACCTGGCCAGTTAGCAGACGGCCCCAGAAGAAGAAGAGGGGTCGGCCCCCTCAGGGAGAGGGGGAGTCGGACTCTTCTGATATTGAGTCTGACTCTAGCTCTTCAAGCCGCCTCTCTATAAACTCAGAGGAAAGGCATTCTCGTTTGCATGAGGCTAGACTTTCTCATGCGGCTGAAAAGGGGGACGGCTGGTCGGAACCATCCGCCTCTCATAGGGAGTTGAATACTCCTTACTACTGTCATGTCCCAAAGGGCCGAATCAAGGCCATGAAAGAACGAATAGACTCTTTTCTATCGGACCATGTGATGGGTTATGATTTTCAAGTATTTGTGCCGGATGTTGAGGATACAGTTGTCTGGCCCGCGGGGACTAGGTACGGGGACGCCTGTTTTGGCTGCTACGAGGCGGCCATTAAGGCTGGGCTTCCATTTCCCTTGCATCCGGTCGTTCAACAAATCCTCGATGGATACGAGGTGGGGCTATGGCAGTTAGCCCCGAATTCCTGGTTCAACATCCTTGGCTATGTAGCCGGATGTGAAATGCATGGGGTGGAGCCAAATTTTGGTAGTTTGTATTTTTTGATTATCTTCCTTATTTCTATCATTTTTCATTAACTCTTATTTTCCATCTCCTAAATATTTGATCATCTTATTTTCCTACCTTAAATCATTCTTGATTATTCCCCAAGCAAAGCCATTTACCATATCATTTTTCATGACAACATACTTTCCATAATTAATTATTCCTTAATCACCATAAAACTAAACTTTCCTTAATTCTTTAGCCTCAACTTTCCCAGTAATTCCTTAAACCAAAATTACCATAATTCTTCCTATATTTTCCTATCATAATTCTAGCATGAGCTAGCCTATAAATACCCCTTGAATCATAGCTAAACATTCACACTAAAATTCTCTAATTCTCTCCTCCCTTTCTCTTGTTTTTCACGGCCACCACCACCAAACACCACCTCCACCGCCGGCTGCCATCTTCCCCGGCCAGCCGCCAGCCACCAGTAGCCACCTTCTGGACGGCTGTCGCCCTCCTTGTCACCACCTCTTCTCCTCCTCTTCTTTATTTTTCTACCTCTTCTTCTTCTCTTCTCTTGAATAATTATATTATTATGGGAGTTTTATAAAAAATTTAATGAGTATTTTTTGATTAAATAAAATCAGTTTATTATTCAAGTTTGTGAAAAATAATTTTATAAGGATCATGTACATATAGTTAGGGGTTTTATTTTAATTGTTGTGATATATTATTTGTTAACCTTATATTGATTAAGGTTATATTTATTTGTGAGGTGTGTTTGACAAGAGTTCTTGAAGTTCTTTTAGTGTGTTGCTAAGCAAGGATCAAGGTACGTTTAGGGGACTAGATACCTTCGAAATCGATCGGATTGAATAAGCATGTTTTATATGATTTTTATGATGATTGAATTATGATTTATGAAATAAAGTATGTTTAAATAATTGGTTTTAATAAATAAATTTGAAGGAATGATTTTTAAATCATGTTTTGAATGATTAAATTATTTGTCATATTTTAAAAGGTTTGATTTTGAAAGCGTGTTGAATTAAATAAAAAGGAGTTTTGAATGGTTTTATTATAAAGATTGGAATTATTGATTTAAGGAGGATTTATTGAATTATTTATAAAAGCGTTACAAGCATGATTACTATATTAATCCCACTATGCGGATTCATTGAAGACTATGGACTTTGTATGACCTAGTCTTTCCTCAAGGATAGCCTTTTAATATAAAGATACTAGCTTGGGGGATGTGCACACTTAGAGAGGAATTGGGTTTTTGAAAAGAATTTATTTTAATAATCACTATAATTGAATTATTGAGTTATTGAAATTATTTTGAGAATATTGAGAATTGGTTTTGAATCATGAGTTTGGAATTATTGAATTGATTATTGGAATTGGTTTTAAAACCATGTTTGCTAATAAATTGAATTTACTTATCTTGCACTTATCGTACTTAGCATATTTTGCTAATCCGTATTTCCTATTTTTTTTTGGTTCACCCTGTTTACCTTAATGGTAAGCAGTGTTAACTATTTTTCAGGTGAAGTCAATAAATGAGCATTTTGGGAGTCTCGGGATATTCTTCACCTAGTTTAGGAATGTTGGTCTTTGTTTCTATTTTCGAGTACTCATAACATTGGTTACTATAAAGTATTGATAAAGAAAGAGTTTGAGTTTCTGTTGCGAAGTCGTGGTTTTAATTAGTAGTTTGAGTAGCCTTGCGTAACCACGCGGCGGTAATACGCCTAAGTCTATCTCTACGGTATAAATTATAAGTTTTATACTAGTATTTCCGTATAGGGAGATTTGGGAGTGTTACACCTGATATGGCCTTGGTTAAAATATCAGCAAGCTGCTGATGAGTAAGAATGTAATGGAGTTCAAGCAACCCATCCAAGACTTTATCTCTTGTAAAATGTACATCAAT